GTATAAATTGAATTAAAAAGCCTTATACAAGTAGAATGGATCTTTTTGAAACACTTGGCTTATGCTACATTTTTAAAGCGGTTTTTCAGATTATTTTAACAACTGAGCAAGATGCCAATTTATGCAAAATACCTCCTGATGTTCCGAATTAACTCTTGATAAAGTTGCTTTAAATTCATCGACTTTTCTGCTTAAAAATTCACATTGCTTTTTTTTTTCTACAAGTTCAATTTCAGTTCGCAGTAGTTTGGTTCGCATTTCATCTGACTCTTCGCAGTCACTATAATGTAAGAATATTACTAGTGAGAGAAAAGTTATTTAAAGAAAATTTACATAAAATAATTTATTACAGTTGATCAAAAGCTTTCTTCCACAGGCAAAATTATAATTATTTTCTAATGATATCACATCAAACTTATTATTTGTTCAAGCATTTTTAAAACTTAGTTGTAAACTCTGTCTGATGGTGATGTCTCACACACCATTCATTCGTAAAGCACAGAGTAAAGATGAAATTTTTATTTAAGAGAAATAAATTTGAATTTTCAAAGCGCTGATTTGATTTAACCAGTTTGATAAATAATTTTAATAAACAAAACTTTGAATACTTAAAGCAAAAATTTTTTTTACCTGCTACTTTCAAGCTTCGTTTTTAATTTCCTGTTTTCCAGTTCCAATTCCAGTATTCGTTTTTTATCATTATCAGATAGTTGAGTAGCCAAAGAACCAAAATCTTCCCGGACGTCATACACCTCACCATTAATGTATTCTCCTAGTTTTCGCTCCAAATCAGAAGTCTTTTTTTGCTCTCTTTCTAATTTTCTTTCAAGATGGCCATTTTCTACTAACAAATTCTCGATTTTTTTCTGATCCTGAAATAGAAAATCTCAAAGCAATGATGATTTTTCAATTTATACAAATTTATTCATTTTAAGTTTGGACATAAAATCACTTATGAAAAGCATATTTCTACATTGTGCAATACATGCAACAGAAAATGAGAAGTTTTGTTGAAAACTACCACATTTTTTGTTAATTATGCCTTTTTTTGGAAACCAAAGCATACTTCGCTTATATTACTAAGATGTTGCTTGATTTGATCCTGGTAATCAGCCAATTTTAATTCCAAATTCAAGTAATTCGATACTTTGCGTTGACATTGCTCCAGCTGATTTTCTAGCACAGAGCAAGATTCTTCCATCAACGAATTTTCTTCTTTCAGCTGCTAAAATCAAGTTGAATGCCTTATTAATCGATGATTAAATTTCATATTAATTTCTAAACTGTTGAATCAAAACCAACTTTGTAATTTTTGAATGATTTGAATTTTCGCTTAAAATCTAAGAGTTTTGGCTTTGCAAGAATAAGATTAGATTTTAAATCATGAGAATAATAGTGTTTGATTCAAGGAGTTAAAATTTAATTCACTTTGTAAATATGTGATAACGTACCGTCACTCGAGATTTAAAAAATTCTAATTCTGATACTCTCTCCTTCAATTTTGCATTATCAGTTTCTAATTTGTCGTAGTTTACAAGCTGAAAGTTATTTGTGTTTAGTTTTTTTAAAACTTTTATGACTGTCAGTAAAAGTTTCTCAATTTGATTCTTCTTGAATAAGCCATTTTTAAAATCCCTTAGTTAACTTGTACAGTTTCTCAACATTTCAGTCACAAGAAAGCAAAAAATCAGTTTCATGTTGCGCAAAAATAATTAAAATAAATTCGAACATTATATGTTTTATCCAATTAACTATTGCAATTTGAAAAAACACTGCGCAAGAAAAATTTGTGAGTTCAAATTGATTGCGTTTATTCTTTTTGAAATTCAGTTTAACTTGCAGTATGCTTTAAAATTTTGCTAGCAATTTCTACTTTTAAAACTATTTATTAAAAATTCAAAGTTGGTAAAATTTGATTTGCTTGCGATGTGAGTTTTAGTATCCTGTTACTGATATTTTGCTACGAGCTCAAATTTCAGATTTTTGCATTTCATGAAGTTTAGCTTCAAAATATAAACTTCATTAAATGCAAAAATGTTAACATTAATGTCACTGATAGCATTTGGATATAATTTGAATAATTAATTTGTGTTAGAATAGATTACTGCTAAAAGTGATGAACGAATCTGTGCTTTGATTAAATTTTGTTTCAGAAAAGAAGCCATCAATGGAATGATAAAGATAAAAATCGAAGCAGAAAGGTTTCGGAATCGAATGAATACACGAACATTGCTTTGCTAAGAACGGACGGAACATATAGCGTGTATGCCTGTATGTCTATGTATGTGTGTGTGTAAATAATTAAGGCATGATTGAAAATCAATGATAGTTTACAATAAGTTTTCAAGCTAGCAGCTGACCTTATGTTGTAGACATTCGACCTCGTCACGGTAATCTTTCGCCGCTCGAGCATCTTTAATCAGTTCCAATCGTTCTTGTTGCATCTTCAAAATGTTTACTTCTCGAGCTTCTGCTTGGTCTTTCAACTCCGCAATCACTTCTTCACGTTCTTCTCTGCAGAGTGAAACAACAATTTATATACTTTACTGCCTGCCTTTGTTCTATGTTTAACGTTCTTAATTTCAGTTTAAAGTATTACTCAAATTCATAATTTGCACACCAATTTAACTTGAACTAGCCTTATTCTTCATCGTTATGGGTTTTTTGATTTACTGATTCACTTGACGCTAACTCATCTTTTGTATAAGCACGTCATTTAACCTTATTTTACACTTGTACAAATATAAATGTCATGTTTTTACTCTCAGTGGAGATGGGAAACTTTCTACCTACGCAAATAAGAAGGTAAGGAAGAGAGTATCATTGATAAATTGAATTCAATCAACATCACAGATATTAGTTTGAAAAATAATGACTGCAATATTGATGCTTTGATTCGGGTAATTCACATAAATGATATATTACTGAAAACAAAAAACAAAAAAACAAAAATATTGATCTGAAACAATCGAAAGAATAATCTGATTCTACTTTTTCCAATGAACGAAAATAATCTTTTAAAACAATGATCGTGCCCTGATTTGCTCAAAAACTAGTTTATTAATTTAAGACGGTTTTCACAGATACAAACATGCTTTTTAATAAAACAATAAACAAAAATTTGAATTTCCCAGACTTTCAATTACAAATTTCTGAGCGCTTTGTGGCATATTTAAATTGTTGGTATTGGATTAGTGACAAAACTTGTTTCTTCAATAATTTTAATCTAATAACTTATGTAGTAATAGGTAATATGGACATGCTCAATAAATGTTAAAAGATTTGTATGCTTTGTCTAAATATCGGCTTACATCATATTTCTCAGCTTGCGAACTTCAGCTTTAGCAGATGCAAGTTCTACATTGTTATGCCTTTCCATTGAATTTGGTGATGGCATACGGCCATCTGAAGTTGAGATGTAATCACACAAATGGCGGTAAAAAACTGTAAGAAGCCTTCAAGGCATGATGAAAAAATAATACAAAACAAAAAAAAATTAAAATAAACAAAAGACTGCTATGTTTTTTATTCTGTACCGAATTTGATATCCGCATGTTTTCCCGTTCTAATTATTTCATTTGATATAAATGAAGAACCAGTTTTACTGCTACTATCATCACTTTCCTGCAAAATTAAAGTGCACAAATATAAAAGATAAAAAATTTTCGGCTGCAGTTTTGTGCACAAGCAATACTGTACATAAACAGTACCTTTTTAAATGGAAAATCACAAAAGCAAAAGTTTATGTGTGATATTAGAACTCTGCCTTCTTATCGAATTTGAAAAATAGTCTAGCTTGAAGATTAGCGCTATTGGAAGGTTTGTCAAAATTTTATTATTTCAAAGCATTTCACAAGTTTCCAGAGTTCTAAATATTAAATTTAAACTTATTTAAATAATGAAAACGAACTCGTTCACTGGATATTTCGTATAAAGAACCCGCATACTTATCACGTTCGTTCATTATACGCTCCATATGTGTTAAGACCAGCGTTTTTTGATCGCCTCCTGAAATTAGCTCCAATGTTTTTACGTCTAAAACACAGTCACCTTCTTCGACTACCTGAAATTGAATTTTAACGATAAAATTAAAAAACGAAAGTGAGTTTGGATAGCTTCAATTTAAATGCAAGAAGTGTATTTGAAGGAAATTAAAATTGCATAAAATTGAGTTTTTAGAATCGAAAAGTTTACAAAAAGAATGAAACAATGAATTGAGATTTCGATTATAAAGTTTCTATTTCTATCAAACTGCTGAAAGTTATAGATTTTTCTAATTTCCACTCTATCAAAACAGCAAAACATATCAACTGTTGGAATAATTCCTGTAAATACAAATCTAAATCTTATTAAAATTCATTATAAATGCTATACTTTAGATTGTATATTGTATTTCACTGCTACATGTCACAAAATGTTGAATCGCTATTAAAATTTTACTTTTTCCGACATGCTTTTTTTCATTTACTGTCTAATCTAGAAAAAATGACCTTGACTAGGGATATGGGATGTAGATAAGAAATATAACTGTTTAATTTCTTAGTCAAAATTTTCAGCAATAATAGAAGTAACAGATTTAGTCAAAAACAATGATTTTAAATGTCATTCAGAAAGTTATGTGGACGAAATTCTAGATTTAAGAATCCATGGAATCCTCGAAAATTAAAGAAATCAAATATTTGAACATTATTAGCAATCGTTTTCTTCTTTTAATTAAAAAATCTTGAAATAATTTCTTATGAACTCACTATGTTTTGGAGTTATAACTCCATAATGCTCATAAGCAAATAAATAAAAAATTATGAATTAATTACCGAATTCCTTGAATAATAATCGCATTTTTCGGACTCCTCAAATTTGCTACTTCTCAATGACCAAGTGCAAAGTAATATTTTGCTTTCTCAAAGTTTGAAGTACAATTTTCTGATTTGTTATCAAGTGAAAAACAAATAAAGCATACATTCAAACCTTTTTGATTTGACTCACAAGTGCTGCTTGCAAATCATTTTCCATACGTTTTATACGTTCAATAAACTTAGTCCGCTGTTCTCCGTGTACAGCACATCCTAGCAGTAGGAGCAACACAGTGTTGACATCGCTTTCACAAGTTTCTGTAAGTAATTTTTTCAAAAAAATTACGAAAAATTAAAGTTATTCTTACTTATAAGTCACTGCAAAAAATATCTTTGAAAAAAATTATTTTTAGGATAATTAAGACTATTTTAGCAGATCGATTAGTTCAAGTAATCTATATGTATAGACTTCACTTATTGTTGCTGCAAATATAATTTTAAGAAAGCGGCTGACGGGCAAGAGAAGCAGTCAGAAGAAAATGGATTAGCTTAAACGTCAAAGAAATCAAATAGTGCCTAGCATTCATTACAGAAAGTATCTTTTAAATGAATTTATTCGAAAAATTTGTGCAAGGCTAAAAATATCGAATTTCTGTTTCTTAAAAAATATTTTTCGTGAAACTCCCAATCACTGATGATTTTTTATAAAAATATTATGTTCTTCAAGCACTAGTTCAGATATGAAAGCGGGTAATTAAGTCTAAAATTATACAGTTATTTATTTTTTAATATGTTAACGAACTATTACTATTTCTCAAACACTACAAACAACCATGCAACGATCGTGGAGTTCTGATAGAAATTTTGAAAATAAAATTAAGATAGAACAAATAATTTGAGATGGATAAAATTGGACTTATAATAATAATTTAAAACAATGAAATATAATTGATCGAGCATTAAGGTTTTTTAATGTTATCATAAATATAAAAAATTTAATTTTCTATAAAAACTAATGATATTTGTGAGTTTAGAATGAATCTGTACTTTTTATCATTACACACTATACAGAAAGTCAGAAAAGGTTAGAGGTAAATAGCTACTGTATGAGACGTAACATTCGTACAGAGTTCAAATAAAAGATTAGCAAATCTGGAATATTCAATCGAATTGTGAAGAAACGAACAAATAAATTACTGAAAGATATGCAATGAAAAACTAGTCGGAAAATGTGAAATAGTAATTTTGGTTTTCACTGAAATAGAAAAATAACAAACTATTACAAATTAAATTGTGTTCTTTTGAAAGAAGAAATTTCAAGATTTAAAATAAAAACAATCAATTTTATGTCAGAAATGCAAAATAGACAAAATATTAATATTCTCACTTGCTTGATTGTATTACAAGATATGAATTTTGATGAAATTCCAGCATATATATATATAAAATTTATTCAGAACTGATCAATTCTGATTCTAACTTGTAAACGACTCTGAAAACATTCCACTAACAATTACTTTAACCAAAATTTATGTCAAAAACATTCATCACTTCAAATTCTTCCACATAAAAAATCATACTGAACTGAGAAAGAGCCGTTAACAAAAATCTCACCGAAAAATCGCATATTTAAGAAATATATCAAAACTGAAATTTTATCAAAAACGATATAATAACCCAGCAGTACACCTGAAATCCATTATTCTGACTATTGTATGAAACTCCTACAAATGTGTTCAACATTTTGGTTTATATGTATTCACAGAAAAACTCAGTAAAATTTTGAAAGAACATTCGAAAGTCAGTAGTCAAAAATATTGACTGATTAAGCAAAAATTTTTTCGATTTATTTTATCTGATGGAACTAAGCTCGAGGAAAGCAAATTATCATAATATTTGTCATAATTATCGTAATACTGATCAATTTTAGCACGAAAATTAAGAATTATTCCTTTGCTAGAATGAATCGTTAATTTCTATGAAAAAATTTC